GATGTCGGAAGGGCAAGCAAGGGCTTTTGATAAAGTGGAATGAATTACTAGAAACCGGTTTCTTATTCCGTGATCTAAACAGTCGTGTGATTCTGAACTTACAATGCACATGAGGACTTTAAAGTAAATCGGGCAGTTCACACCACATGACTATTGAGTAAACGATGCCCGCATGTAAAGGTCCTTTTGGCACAGCTGCAATCAGTTTAGTTTGTTTGTTTCATGTCAGTCGCATGTTCGAAAATGCAATCGCAAAGCCATTGGAACGTCCTAAAATGTTACTGTAATTTTTTTGAATGGAAAGAACTTAAAATTCATTTTTTTGGACTACAGCTTAAGATTATTGCAATTTCGACTTTGTGTATGAATAGCATGACTAAGCTATTCAGGGGCCAGGATTCACTCCCTGGTTTCCCGGAAATTTCTATTTTTAATTCATTGAATGGCTTATACACTGCAATTGCATGGTAAAGTTGCAATTAGCAAAATCTGGACGCAGTTTCATTTTATTCCAGTTCTTAGAAAACGTAAATAACAAATGCAAGTGACCACAGTGGCCTCTGCGGAATCCGCAGCTGGTGTTCGAGGTCAAAGACGCACTGGACAGACAGGGAAGCAGACTACGCCAGCTTAATCTTGCACAGCGTGTTAGCGCCAGCACAAGAGGCTCGATGTGCTCTTGTGGGCCAATAGTTTCCGTCGGGTAATCGAAAGAGCTATATTCCCTTAAGAAATATGTCCAATTTTAGGTGTCTACTAGATGTTGACACACCTACTCACACTACCCAGATAAGGCCGGACTGAGTATTATTGTTCGTTGCAGAGACTGCTAGTGTGATAAATATGTCAGAATGAAGTACCAAATGTTAATTTAATCATTACTTACCCAACGATGAGTTCGCCGTCACAATATCCCTCCCCTTTTAGTGCTCCTGCAAATTATACCCTCAGAAGTTCACTGCTTTAGCAGGTTAAATTGATGCGTTAGTTTTATTTACAAGATGGAGTTGTGGCTTTGGCATTGTGAACGACAATGTGCACTTTTTCACTACAGAAAATCCAAATTGAAAAGTTACTAATTAGGAAATACTAATGTGATCAACCTGTTAATCTTTCATGGGTGCCCTAGCTTCTCTCACTTAAAAAAAGTAAACAAGGCTTGAAGCTGGCTCTTGATGACGCCAACCACGGGGAGCGCGTCTTTAACTGGTCAAGGTTGGCTGTTTAGTACCTTGGAACTGCGTTTGTTGAAATCTGAGAGTTGGTTGAGATATTTAAATGTGTTGTCATCAAGTCATAGCCACCTTTTTATTTTTAACGATATTTCCAGTCGAAAATGACCTAAATGGCCCCTTCCAGTTGGCAATTTCTTAGCCGGAATAACATTCTCGGTATTAACTTCTTTTTAGATTATGGAAGCAATAGCTGGCACAATATATTCAGCGAAAGCTGTACATGATTGGCTCTTATTGGTAGATAAATATTATCAGAGATTCGCACTTACATCCATCAGGAGATGGCCTTCAGCAGGCCGCTAGAGGCGATGCTCACGGCAATGAATGTTTTTAAAAGGTTGGTAAGGACGAAACAACAAACAGAACAATCAAATGGAATTTTTGCTATTTCTACAATTGGAGAGATTATGTTTAGCCCAGAAGTAGTTGGTTATATTTCTGGTCAGGATATACATTGTGTTTCATTACATTAATTCCATTCTTAAAGGTAATGCTTCACAGCTACTACTCGTGATCGTTTGCTACATAGAATTGATGGATTCAAACATTCAAGCAGCAATCAATGTGAACACACCTCCAGCTTACCTAGGTGGCTTTTTTTATCCGCAAACCATTCACAATACGCTGCCTAATTAAGTGCACAATTCACAGTAGCTCACAGACCGTCACTTAAAGAAGAATAAAAGATATAGACTGATAAGTCCTGTTACTTGTGAATTTGCGTTCGTGTTCTCCATTTAAAACCAACAATTTTTTTTCAGTAACTTGTAAAGTGAGAGTGACCATTAATTTTTTTTGAATAATCAGAATATTTCCCGTTAACCCCTAAACAATCCCAATTTGAATTAACCACGAGAGGCTTTTGAGTAGCTTTCAATTTTAGCAATTAAATCTCACTTCTCGTTCATACTCATGTTTTTTTCTGCTGCTAGTAGACAGATTTCTTTGAAGAAATCACCTTTTTGTAAGTTGTAAGTCACGTAAAAAGCTAAACGTGAGTCCAGATGTAATATCGAAGATAAAGCATTTTAGTTCAGGAGTCTATGAAAGGTGTTTTAAGAACCCATTTCACAAACTGTCTAAATCCAACGTACAAACACGCGTCAGCTATTTTTACCATCACCTGTTAACAAGTTTTCTAGAGGAAACGTTTTTGGCGTGAAAATCATAACGCTTAAAGCTCTAAATTTTGCATAATCATGCATACCTTGAAACACCAGTTAATAAAAAGATCTTTTGCAACATGGGATTCAGTGTAATTCACATCAGGTATCGATTACGAATTCAGATCCTGACTACTGGATTTTAAAAATCTGACGGAGGCAACCACAAGTGACCAGCTGACTGTTTTAGGCTAAAAATTTGAATTAGCCTTTTTTAGGTAATATTTGATTACAAACACGTGGTTTCAGTCAGGAATATGTGTTGAATCCAGCAAAGTATTCAATGAATCCTACGTTTTCCATTGCATAGAGAAGATTTTTACAAACACTGGTCTTGGCGTCTTATGAAGAGAAAATTAATGCTATTTCCATAGCACGCCACATCGAGTGAATCGCACAAGAGCACGCACTCAACCAATTACGTGGATGGAGCAGCAGAGAAACCTGACACCCTACCAAGCACTAGCACAGTTCATTTTGCGGGGCGATTAAGCACAGTGGAGTAATGACGGACTCCGAGCTAAGGGCTATCATCAAAGAGACGGCGATGAATGAAGACATGCAACATGCTGCTGCTGAAGTGTCCGCAGATGCCTCAACGCGATACAACACCCTGGATGAGATAAGTAAATACATCAAAGAGGCATTCGAGAAACGCTATGGTAATACTTGGCACTGCGTGGTCGGCAAACAATTTGGAAGGTGAGCAAAGATATGCATAAATTACTTTAGTTGTACTACAACGAACGCGGTCATTGCCTTAGTTAAAGACAATATTTTCAAAAATATTAAGATAGAAAATCTAAAGTTGCATCTAGTTTTTCATTGGGTAAAATTAACACCAAATATTTTGATTAAATCCAGGTAAAATAAAATAAAGTGAATTAGATAAGGCCAGTTCAGGAGAATTAAAATTGGTGTGGTTGATTTTAAAACGGTAACTTCAATCGAGATGGTTAAAGTCGATATACGAGTTCCGCATGTTTTTGCAAAAAAAAACTGAACTGCGTTTTCGTAGCTACATGTACCCTTGTCAACTAACAATAAAACCATTTTTAGATGATTTCGTAACCGGTGACACAAAGTTGCGCAATCTTTAACAACGTCATAAAAAGACGTTAGATGTAAATTAGCCTAATCCATGGCAGAGGTTGGATTGCATCCAATGAAAGTGCCCTGAGGATTGGTAGGTTAGAGCAGAGATATATTTCTGTAGAAATTCCATCAACGTCAAAACTAAAAATCACGACAGTTTAGATCACGGAATAAGAAACCGGTTTCTAGTAATTCATTCCACTTTATCAAAAGCCCTTGCTTGCCCTTCCGACATCTTGTGTCCAGCTACGCTGCATTTTCAACGTAGCCAATTAATGCATGCAAAGACGCATTGTGATAAACTCAGCCAACTCAAAATTCATAACCAATTAAAGCGCCCAGATTTGGCCAATCTAGAAGGCCTAATTTGTCATCATGACGATGCTGGGCCACATATCTCCCAAGGAGCGCTGCAGAAACTTAGGAATTTAACATTGAAAATACTCGTCCGTATTTTCCTCACCTTGATGCATCCAGCTTTCACCAGATTTATTCTCCTCATGCACGTCATCGAAGAGAAACCTTAATTCCAGCAAAAAAGGAGTTGAAAACTTGTCCATCGTTTATGACTAATGAAAACGCGTTCTTTTCTCTTTTTTTCCCACATCTAGCACGAATGTTATGCAATCACTGAGTAGTTAACCAATAGATTAAATACTAAGGCCCAGATTATAACAACATTTGCATTTAAATAAAAAGTACATGCATTTCGGCAAAAATTTAGCCATTAAAATGGTCTGGAAAGAAGTCATAGTGCTATAAAATAAAATTTGAATAGTGTCAAGGAACACGAATTGTGCATTAAAAACTTTTGATATTTGTTCTGGGGAAGTTAAAAACTTAGAAAGTGCGTGGTTTCCTTGATGTACAACCTGACACAAGATTGTGACTCCTTGCTCCATGAATCAATCATCACAGGCCTTAACAGTGAAAGAACACTTGAGGTAATCATTGGTTAACTCCATCAACTGCACGTAGTCCATAGCTGAGAGCTGTACCAATGCCTCATTGTTTAACCTTCGATCAGGTATTTGAAAAAAAATTGATTTATGAATTGATTCAGACATTTGCGTTCAAAATGGAGCCCCTATTACAAAATATTATTTATATTGCTGCATTGTGTTACCTACCATTCTTGCCCAACTTAATCTGCTTGGTACTTGGTAATAAGTAGCCGATGTCAGCAGAACGTGGACGTGTCTACGTGTCCTTTTAACTCAAGGTCTTTGGCTGTGCCGATAAAGATCATCTCAGGTGGTTTGCAATCCGGTTTACATAACAGAATTGATAATTGTCGTCGATCTGCATGTGGGTGCCTGTGTTTACCCTCCGAACAAGGCTAAGCTCTCACTAATCCGGCGCTATTCAGTTGTGCGAGTTAAGCCCACAGTTGAATTTAATTTGCGCTGATTTTGGCTTCCACCTCATGTCACTACAGGCTTGTGGTTGGCACAGGATCGATGTGCATGATTGCTTTGAGCACATCTCCCTGTCATAAATTTCCATCGAGGTGGCACATTTGTTTGGTGCAAAACAAGGAGATCCTGATTGGTAAAAACAATAAATTTCAGAGGAGGTTAGAAATTAAACTGCAGGATTTGCGAGGAGTGTGTGTGCGTGTGCTAGCGTCGACGTTTGACCACTTGGTTAAATGCATCAAGGGAGACCCACACCGTCCGGCATTTAAGGGGTTAAGTAATTAAGTTTTCGTGGATTTCTGTGCATTATCGAATAACCAATCATTTGTAAAACATTTGGAGCATAAAAATGTGATGAAAACACGAAAACCTGGTTATCACTGCTATCAAGCAATAGAGGCTTTCGCTCTGACAGGGATTCGTGGCCATCGCCCATGCTGGGCGACTAATGACTTGCACGCCGATGAATGCAAGTGATCATTTCACGCTTCGCGATTCTAAGGACAGATCTGGTAGACGGCAAGCTATTTGCATTCACAGGTTCTCGTGCATTTGTAAATCCCACACTAGCACGTCCGGCGTCGTGTAAGACCTCAATGCTCGCATATCATGGCCAATGAACGAGTCGAACTTTGTCGCAAAGTTGCGTTTTGGCAAACATGTCGGGTAGACAGCAACTACGGACACGTACGTTTCAGCACAGGTTAAACCTTTAGATTGCCTAATAAATTCAAAAATGCCACGCCCAAATTCGACAATTTATAGGGTCGAGACGAACATGTGTCTTGTCCATGTGGAATGTGGCTGTTAGTGCGAGGAGGGCCTGTTTGTATTTTGCGTAAAGTAGCTGCTTTCGTATCCACTAACATGTTCATTGACAGTCTGGAAATAACAGTCGAAGACTTAAGTTACCAGCGTGGACTAGGGTTTGGGGTTGTTGTGGCAAGTCACTGCATGAAGTACTCAAGTAAGAAGTGCGAAAGAAGCGATGGGTTACCGACCGTTCATAGTGTACACGTGAGAGAGCGGTAACTTGGCATGACAAGGTGTCAGTTTAAGTAGGGACGTAGGACATTCGATCCTAGACCGAACGTCACTGCATGAAGAACATTAAGGATAATTTATCGAAATTCAAATTTGCATATATTTTTCGTTGTAAAGCCCTTAGTAGACAGTTAATAGGATTACTTTGACAATTACTATGTACTAAATGTCAAATTGAAATATACCCTGGGAGCTAAAACACGTCTTGTTTAATTTGTAAAATTGTCAGCAGCCCTTATTCCGACTATCGTAGCCGGTAATGTGGTATAAACTCGCCGGTTGATACCGATGGTGTAGTGCAGAGGCCCGCGATGGAGGGGCCCGCATGCCTGCTCACCTGCCTGACAGAACTGTGCTGTTTAGCGCTGTGTGGCCGACCGCTGATTACACTGTGAGATAGATGAAGTGCGCCAGATGGTGAGTGAGTGTGTGAGTGAAGGTGAGCAAATGAGAGTCAAGGCTTGAGCTTGGAGGTATTTGGAAGTTGTCAAGTCGCAGATTATCTTACTGCTACGTTTGCCCGTATCAAAAGAGAAGACCACTCAAATAACGGTACCAGATCCCTTGCTGAAAGCTAGAACCGACCTTCCCAGGCTAATACCAGAACAAGACCAGAGCTCGAGTAGAGAGCTTTATTCACGTCAGCCATGCGCAGGGAAGAAGTGAAATCGAAAGTGAAAACGAAACTAATCCAAGTCAAGGTTGACCTTGACTTGATAAAAGCGTAACAAAACAAATGTTAATAAATTAATGTAAATAGAATAGGAAACCAATCTTGGGGAATCGTGGATCTCCAAATCTTACCCACGCACGTAATCAACAACGTCGCCAAGTTCGACAGCGGGCGAAATCTCCAGGCAGCGCTCATGTACGTACATCTCGTGCAATCGCCACCATCAGGAAAAAGGATGAAAGGAATGGCCTTTTTATCAGACACTCATAATGTTTACTGCCGTCGACCGCACTCATTAATGCTTTTCAAATTAACGAATGCAATTCTGTACTTAGACGCTGACCTCACCCTCAAGCATGAATTCCTATCAATTGGCATCCCCGAACAGAGCCTAATATGTCGTACCTCAGCCATACGCACACCGGTGCTCTTTTCCAGTTCACGTTTGGAGTAACACATGTCAATTTCTTTTTCAGCTTCGTTTCCTACGACGGCAATGACTACATTTTACTTCATCTCGAAAACCTGCCAATTTTATTATTCCGATGTAATTGATTTTCTGTCAAATTAACCACAGCCTAGAATGGTCAATCTTAGTAGTTCCTGTGACATGTTCTACCATGGACCTAGTAACTCCAAACACCACATGCAACTACGATTGGCAATAAATGCTTCCGAATGTTGTCGTTTTGGTTTAACGTTTGATTGCTGCACTAATGTGAGCACCATTAATTGGCATTTAATGCGTGTTTGGCCTATGAGCCCACTCAAATATAACCGCCACCACGAAAGTATGACTGACTGCATGGCTTCATGAGATTCATAAAAGCGCATTTTGTACTAACTGGGTTATGTCTAAGTTATGGGGAAAGTTATCTGCTATTGTAAGTAGTGAAGTGAACACAAAGTTGAAAATGCTTTGGACTGAATGTGTACTTTGATATATGATGGCACAATGGAAGGCGTGGCAATTTTGAGGTTTGTTTGTGCATTTCTACGCTCTTGTTCAGAACGCTGTCTAATGTTTATAGGAGCTTAGGAAATGGGCTTTAGAAATGGGCTTTAGAAATGGGCATCGGTGCAGACCTGATCAACGTTATCCAGAACTTGTAAGAAATACTACTGTACCTTGACGCAGTAAGGAAAACGTGCGGTAAAAATTTAAGCGATTGCAAGGGACTGCGGTCTGAGGTTGTTTACTTGATGATCGAACACCATGCACATGTAGAAGGAATTTCGGGAAACCCAACGATACCAGGAACTGCGATGCAACCAGTTCTGTGTTACTTGTACCTAAAGAAAATGGTTTATGATTACCAGACGCAGATGAAGAAATCAGTCTAGCAATTTCCCTTTCATAGTAAGAAAAGCCTATCTTGTTAGGACTTCGCGTGCAGCCCTGAAACCCGAGAGACTTCCTTTGGGAAGTGGATGTGATAAAATTTTACTGGGTGATTCATCAAATCGAGGTTCACGTTTCTACGGGATGCCAGTTTTGTCTATTCACATTTAGTAAAATACAAAGGCTTAAATCTGTAGGGTGCCATCATCCACAGTCTGCTTGTCACAATTAGTCTAGTACATTTGCGTCAAGGCGTTGTAGGCAAGTGAATTTTTGAAATGGCAGCACCTCCAACATGTTAGATCCTTGATTTGATATTCAAGCCAAAAACGACAACTTCAATAGTGTGTATGCTTGTCTTGAAGTCATGACTTGTAAATTCAAACCCTACTTTGTCCGCCGAATTAAATAGACGTGACAAATTCAAGCAGTAAATCAAAAACACTGGCTGTGACGTTGACTCAGTTCATGCTAGAAGTTCCTTAAAAGGTCTCGCAGAAGATGCTTTGAAAAGTATGGAAGTGTCAGTTTTCGAAAACCAAATGTTGTTAGTACAATCGGTATTGCACTAATTCCTTGGTCTTTAGACCCACACACTAAGATCAGCACAAGTTCAGTGCAACGCAAGCACCTGATAATGCACAACACCGAATTTACTAAACTGGCGCCCATTCACCTATCTTCTAATTAAAATACTTTCGTAGATTGTCTAATTCCTTGAGGACGAGCGTTTTGCCGAAGTGAGCGACTTTGACTTGTCGTTTTGCGAGGTACGCTCGTTTGCTCGATGTAGTGGAGGATCATTAAACACTCTTGCCGACACAAATGATAGGCTGGTAAAAGCGTGCTTATTTGTCTGCGTGGCACATCAAGGTCACAACTCGGTCTTGACAACGGCTGCTGCCTTTGCTTTGGCTTTTATTTCGCAACAAAGGCCATCCCTCATATTTTGAAAAAAATCACTTCTTAAACTGTTTTAAGTGGCACATTGATCATTAACCTCGACTTTAATCGGCTTACCTCTTCTGAATTTGACTGTCTTTATTGTACGAAAGTGTACTGGTCGCGGCCAAGTAAGAAAGGCCTACAATTCGTACGTCACCTAATGGTTCTAATCATTCAATGTTGTAAATATCCGGCTCCATTACCCGTCCAAAATGTGCAATTTTTAATCCACTTACTTCTGCAGTGGCATTTTTGTGATAGCTGTGGTGTTTAAAAGAACTCCTATGAGCAAATGCATAACAAATTAGAGTGTAGAACGTTGGGTTCAGTGGTAAAAGACTCCTTCTTTGTCCACTGGAGTAATTTTCTTCTAACCAGCACACTACTGCTTCCGTGAAGTAGTGGCTCAATTTATGAAAGAGAAACTGAATCCCGCATTTTCCTAAAATGAGATGCCTACTGTTTGGTGCTCTGCTTAGATTGTTTGTACCTGAGGTTATAGATGAGTTTCAATTGCATATGTAACTGTACTGATAATGTTCTAGTAGAAGCTTGCGCTGGCATTTCGCAACAGCCATGTTCTTGCCTGGTATATTTGTTCGTATTTCACTATAGCTGCATTGCCGTCCTGGCTGATTTGCGTTTGAGATTGAATTAATAGCCCCGTTAAACCACCAGCTGCATGGGATTTTCACAAACAAGATAAGGATAGTGTGTCACATGCGTCGCCGGCGAGGGTACGTTGTCGGTCCTTTACATTTAACTTTACCCCTTAGTGTTTTTCAGCACTAAATAAAAGGCCTTTAATGTCCACACATGTTACTTTACTAGACTGCCGCAATTTGGAACGCTGCTAGTCAAATGAGTGTAAGCATTTTAAAGTCACCATGGTTATCGTTTAATATGTCATAATTGTCATTAAATGAGAATACTATTGCCATTAATAACACCTTGCTTGTTTTTCCGCCCAATTTTGAAATATCCAGGAACACCTCTACATCTCTGGAATAATGTTTTACTACTAGTGTGGCAGTTTGTAAGCCATAATTCAGACATGTTATTCGTTGAAATCCACACAACCCGGGAAAGGGTAAGTGGTGGGAAGACGACAGAATGAAGCGGACACAACCGCCGATCCACCCAGAAGGCACCCTATGTTGGTGTGCGCGCGCGTATGCTTGTGTTAGTCAAGTTCTTGCAGACTGAAACCACTGAGGGAGTCCAATCAGCTAAGAGGAAACAAATTCCTTATTACACCAGGCTGATCATCAGGTTTCCTTCAAGCAAGTTACATGCACTATTAAAATGTGCATATTTTTTTTTGTTGAGCTTTCTCAAAAGTTAATTGTTTTATTGTTGAGTCATTGAGCGTGATTCAATAGATTAAATGGCTTTACTGATTTTTGCTGCGATTACAGCTATCTGGCTTAGTGGTGGGTTCCATATCTTCTTGAAAAACCTTAACGACATCTACATTGCCCACCCACGTAACCTTTGTAATTTGACTGCTTCATGTATTCTGGATGTTTTGTTGTCCACCAAGAGTCAACATATTTAAAGAAAATTCAAAAAATACGGGCAGTCGAAATTCTGCTACGCAATGAGATATCGATAGTCCAAATAGAATTCTAATCTGGTATCAAAAACGTTTTCAAAGTTTTTCCATTGCAGATATTCCCTTAAATATTTTATATAAATAATCTAACGCAACTTTGAACGGCCAATCTATCTCTATAATACTTTGAGCAAACCTTGAAGTAATGCAGTTAAGAGAAAAACAACGAGACAATAATTTTTAGGTTGCTTGCACATTAATGCAAATTGGCGAATTGTAAACCCAAAGCTGTTGACAACCGGATGCCTACAGACAAACTATTAATGTGTAAATAGAAAAATCATAAGTAGCATTTTGGTCTCATTTCCAGAAAAAGTATTGAACATAGCAACCTTTCAAGACTTGGACGCCATGTTTATTGGAAAGACTATTTTTCTCGGGATCGGTTGCGCTAGCTGTTTTTTCGAGCTGCTGACATGTGAATTTGCATTGGGTTATGTCAGATTCAGTCACCGTTAATTAAACATCAGAAGGAAATTTAGATTAATGACGATAATTGCTAAAAACGCAAGAATAAGGACCTACATATTTTCAATTAAAATTCTGTGAGGCTTTTATCCCAAAATTGCTAGGTGGAAAAACTAAGCTAGTTGTGGCAGAGAAAAGTCAACCAAATACGTGTGCCTTAGGTTGGAGAAGAATAAGAGTAGGATTGATGGGAGTTGGTGGAATGAAGTTGTTCGTGTAATTCGATTGCCAATTAAAGTGCCGTTAAATCCATGGTTTCCAGGTCCACATACTGAGCATCAATATAAAGATTGATTTCCGTTACGCGGTTGGTATGTCGACCGTACTCTTCTTTCTCATGAAGGTCTTCCATCAGTCCATTGAACCAAGCTTGAATCGATTTTAAAATTCCCTCCTCAGTTTGGTCAATAACATTTACTTGGGTGTCCCTTGAATTGCTGAGAGCATTAACCACGAAATCACGATCCGCGTAAACCTAAGAAGAAATAACAGCTATTTATATCGCACTATTTGAAAAAACCTGTTATTTAGTATAAATATCTTACTATCACTTTAAAGAAACAAACATGCTAAGTGTGGTTGATTGTGTATCTAGTTTGCTCAAAGTGTGATATTCTTCCACATTGGAGTGTTCTCTGTATAAGCTAAGGTTATGATTGTGAATGCTTTACAAGTTTCACCCATTTTACATGTTTACCCAAATCTGTAATGCTTTTAAACCTTGGCTGTGTTCTATGTTCCGCGTTTTCAGTCAGCCTTTGATTTTCGAAGTTAATGATTTTGCTTTCAGAAATTTTTTTGTCAATGGTGGTAGTAAACTTATAGACGTGGAAAATGCACCCTTACCAGATATTTTTGAACACGTTATAGCCAAGTCAAGTGCTGTGGAACCATGGTGGCAGAACACATTTCTTTGATGAAGCATGTAATTCTATACTGGGCATGCCGAGGATGCCCAAACAGATCAATGCACCTAAAAAATCGTTGAGTTTTTCACATTGTCCTATAGCTTTAAGCCAAATCATACACGCAGGAAATATGCCTGTGACTCAAGACTATAAAACGTACTGCATAACTCTCGTCTTGTGGGCCATCAGTTTTGGCAATCCTTTCAGTGTAAGTTAACGTGAGCTCAGCGAGCCTCTCGTTAAAAGCCACTGCGGATTCACGCACCTTTGAAAAGCAAACCTGCAAAGAAAGGGTTAATAAACAGAACCAAATGACGTGCCTGGACTGTTTCACCGAAATTCGATATTTTTTCCTCTAAATTTCGACCAAACTCGTTTATCACATCCTCGAGTTGATCGACTAGAGAAATTTCAAACCCCATTAGGTCATTCCAGAGATCGTGAATATGTTGTCGAATACTGCTTAGCAAAGCTTCGGTTAGCTCAGGATACGTGTCTTGCTGTATTTCATCAAGCTTCTTCAGGATCTAGTAAAGTGAAATGTGAAATATTTATTAAAGGAAGTGATATTATCATCATCCAATATATTTATATGTATATGTTTGACTGCTAAGTTGGATCAACAGAGGAAATTTTTGATGCTGGTGGCAATTCCAAACTTTGTCTGCAAGACTAACCTGCGGGGACTGCATCGCTTGCAGTCACCCTGAGTACATTTAAAATCGTGGATTATAAATACGAGGAAACTTGAAAAAATAACAAGTTACATTATTCTTCTTTTCTTTGTAAGCCTCGATTGCTTCAAGAGCTCGGAGTTTTGAGTCATTTTTTGCATGTTCAATGCACTCCCGCAACGTGGTCTCCTCAGTGAGCCGCTTTTGGTATTCTTCCTGCCCAGAGATGAATAGTTGCTTACAAGCGTCAACAATTTTTTCCCTGTACGTTCGCTAGAAGAGCGGCCAGAATTGGTGGGCCATGATGGTTAAGGAAGGATTTTAGTGGAAAATTGTCGCGAGTGGAGTCGCGTGCAAATAAAACCCCCATTCGCTTTTCAAAAGCCTTAGCGAGATTTCAGATCCCATCGATCATTACCATTCCGTTATTTTTGCACTCTTGCTATAGCAAGTGGTAAAGGCATCAAACAAAGGTAACGCTAAAAATAGTCAGGATTCAGTGATTCAGTGATGCCAATTTATATAGGCAGGATGGTTCAGACCCGAATTCGCCAGGACATCGATTGCTAACAAATGAATCGACTAACTCTGAGATCAATTCAAAAGATGCTTACGTGAACCAAATTATAACGCATCTGTAACAATTTGGAAAGCTAGAGTTCTTGTGTTATTAGAAGTGGTGAATAAGTCGCAAACTTTTTGTGTCATGAAGTTCGATCGGCAGATGGGCAATCTGCTACCAAGCCAAATATCTTCGAATTTTATTCTTTAAGCGCACATTTCAACAAAACTTGTTCAGCCATGCTCAAAAGGATATTGTTGAACCAACTCCTGAATTGTCGGCACCTGGCAGAGTTTTCTACCATCATGGTCTCTTTTAAAAATAATTTGGAACAGTTCATCGGCATAGACTTTGTCAATGAAAGCGTCACGACAGCGCTCCATGAAACGCCTGTGCTCTTCCTCTTGAGCTTCCTTCTTTTCGTCCTCCAGTTGCTGTTCTTGCATCTGGTCCACGGCAATTTGATACTTCTCATAAGCTTCCATTCTCTAAGTAAATCCCAAGTTGCTTGGTACAGTGTCGAATTGTGATTAGCAAGTAATATACCTATCAAAATCTAATTATTTGGCGAAAGCAAGAAATTCCCAAAAACCTAAAGATGTCTTCCCTATAAAATGATCAGTTTGCCATGTAATCTGTCAGGTGATTAATCGTAACACTGCATATCCTACAAAATCTTAGTTTTGGCCTAGTTGTTTCGTTTTTACCCTCCAAAATTATAGTGCATTGCCAAATGATCATATTTTGTTATTCCGGTTTACGTCGGGTTGTCCAACTAACAGGTCCTAGTTTTCATACAATCTCAAATTGCCATGTCTCCTTATTTGTCTAAGTTTTCATGTTGCATTTTTAACGGTACACTTCTCTGAGTTTTTAGCCATGCATACCCATTCAGGCAGAATGTTCTTGTAATCGAGGTATTTTAGTTGTGGCAGAAAAGCAAAAATATACTCTTCGTAAACAGGATCATTGCACAAAGGGTTATCCGCAAGTGAGAGACATTCGAGTTTCTTAAATCGGCGAAGATAAAGAGTCTAAAGGTAATAAATATTGAAGTTGGTTATTTTGCATTCCTTTCTGTGAAGGTATATTGTACTATTATTAAAACATCTCCACAAGTACTTATTTTAAGACCACTAATCGAATACGTGAAACGTTATTTTAAAACGTCTGAGAGCACGCACGATACCAAATTACGCACTCTTGAATAATGTTTTACTACTAGTGTGGCAGTTTGTAAGCCATAATTCAGACATGTTATTCGTTGAAAGCCACACAACCCGGGAAAGGGTAAGTGGTGGGAAGACGACAGAACGAAGCGGACACAACCGCCGATCCACCCAGAAGGCACCATATGTTAGTGTGCGCGCGAGTATGCTTGTGTTAGTCAAGTTCTTGCAGACTGAAACCACTGAGGGAGTCCAATCAGCTAAGAGGAAACAAATTCCTTATTACACCAGGCTGATCATCAGGTTTCCTTCAAGCAAGTTACATGCACTATTAAAAGGAGTGCCTAATGTTGTTCTTACCTTGTTTTTGTGCGAGGTCCTTGTTTTTGGGTCAAATCTCGAAATTACTGAAAATCCAAATGACTTTTTGTTACGTTTGTTCACAGCTAAAATTTTATATTGCGGACCTATTCCCATTTAGAGTATCTGATATTTACGCGGGTATCACAGTCTTTTTGAATAAACGAATGACGACTACATTTGGAAAAAATATTTTCGGGTAAATTTATCTATTAAGTCTATTCAAATAATTCAAAATCTAGCAATTTTTGAGAAGCAGGTGCGTAATAAACTCAGGCAATTTTTTGAGCATCGAACTGCTAATTTTCTTCTGCACCTGCTCAAATTCAGCAGCCCTAAGACTATTTTGAACGCTCTTATCAATTTTCTACTTGTAATTGTAAGTCGTATTATGTACACCAAATTTTGAATTCATTTCTGCCGTCTCACTCCGATTGGTCCATTTACCTTTGAGTGTACCATTTCCCTTGCACCCTAGGCCACGCATATTATGTACACTGGCGCATCTGAACGCGCACCGGGCCTTTGGCTGAGGCAGTGAAAGCCCTCTGTGAGAGGTTTTGTTTTGTCCTTTTCTGGGTAGGCTCAGACCCCTACGCAATTAGTCTGAGTGCTAGTGTTGAGGAATTCGTTGTCGAGCTAAACAAGTACATACATTCGGTCTTTCCTTCTTTGTACCGACAAACTGTAACAGCAACATATTGAAGAACTCACATTACCTACATGTACAGTCAAGCTGGCGTCTTGATGCCTAATTTAATATAAAATAGCTTAACGCGCTATTGCATCCCAAAGTTTGTTACCAAAGAAAGCATCTTAAAAAGACAAAAGGCGCTCTACAAAACTCTATTTTCAAGATAAATGGGAACGGACTTGAACTTTGTTGTAAAGCTTATATTCAACAACGAATTAGTGCTTATCAGTCTTAGAACTAAAATATGACCTAACTCGAAGACCGTAAGGTGCCTTGCTTACATTATTTTAGTTATACATATTCGCCTACAAATCAATGAACTTGAATTTGAACTTTAAACTGAAATCCTCTTTGATTGTCTATGAAAATTACTCTAATTTTTTGCTAAGGCCATTCATCGGCGACACTAATGTTTTTAGCTAAAACACGCTAGGCGAATGTTGCAAGCATCCATTTTACATTTTTGGGGTTACCATTTTTAGGCCTTTTTCGAAACATTGTAAATTACATCAGCGAACACGAGTGAAGATGAAGTCGGTCTGTCTGTACAAAAGAATGATTGACAGCAGTTTAGAAGCTCGCTAGCTAGAGGACAGTCCGTATTTCATGCTGATGTCATCGGAAAAACTTCCAAATTAGTCGAGAAAACTAAATGTGCTAGGAGTGGCATTTGCCCACTAAAATATTTGTTTCTTAATTACCTTTTTAATGTGAAATTTTGTGTTTCGAAGCACGAATTGAACCCTTGATACCTAGACAATGTCCCATTAATTAAGAAAGAAGATAGGTTTAATGATTTTCAGTTCTTCATGATTGGTGAAAATGTTATTTTGGCTGTCAAAAGATGCGATAAACGCTTAACACAATTTTTGCGCTTATCAATAAACCATCCGTTGTAAGCGGAAAAGGCAGGTTAACAGATGAAATAAAGAGTAACTGGCTACAAGTTATAAAGACTAGACTTCGCACACCTGAATGCCAACAACAAAGTAATAAAACGAATTTCGAATTCATCGCAATTAAAGTATTGACATCAAAGCTCAAGTAGCCGTAATATCCACTTCTGCGTCGAGTTCCGGGGACATGCCTGCGTCAAACCAATGAACTCCCAGAGGCTGTCCGTAGCGCGTTGGCACTGCACCAAACCGACCTCGCCCCAAGCCGCGCAGTTGAGCTCACCTTCCACGGCACTAATACAAAGACTTTGATCGGCAAGCAGAGGATGATAAAAGCGTTCATGTCTGCATTCGGTGAAGCTGGACAAATTAACTCGGTCGAAAAGCACCTTCTTGTGATTCGACGATTCAAGATGTGCCACCAAGCACCTCCGCCACGGTGACACGGCATTAGAAACTCGGATTGTGATGTTCTTAGCTGCACAGAGATCAGCATCATCCTGATCCTCCCAAACTTTCTCCAAAGAGCATCCGTTTTGCTTTAGGTTTATCCGAAGACATTGACGCAGACATCTGGCTGAGGTGATAAGAGGGAATGTGTCATTCTGCACGTAAGTTCCAAGGCAAAACTCCGTTTTGTGTGTGCTAACATTGAAGTAAGTGAACCATGGGAAGAGGCCGTTGTTGGCATAACCACAGCCACCATGATCCTTTCCAGTTATTTGTAGTATCCACTCTCGAACATCATCTGTTACCACAGAGATAAGGACGGGCCAGCCGATTTGACCTTGAAAACAGTCTGCACCTTCGGAGTGGAAGCCCAGGGTTGAGTTAGTGCATGTAAGTATGCCTCCAAGAGCATTTTGGAGACAGAACCTTTGTGATATACACAAGTGATTTTCTTTAATTGGCGCTTCGTATTTTCTGGAACAAATGGCAGTATCCAGTAACTCAACGTCTTGAAGATTGAACGAGTAGGTATATCCATGACGTGGGGCCAGGAGTTTGCAGGTTGCCTTGAAATCACTGTTAACCGAAGTCAGCGGGTAGCCATGAGGTATAAAGTGTTTAATCTCCTCTGATGACTTCAGAAGAAGCAGACTGAACGCTGAACTTGTGTTAGGTGGCACAATGTCTTGCTCAATGCGAGATAGGACTCTAAGATAAAAAGAAAGGCACCAGACCAACTGATAGGTAATTATGTAAAGTGATTATATCAGGCCAACTCATTAAAGACAGCAGTTTCTTCGCGTTGAAATGGTAACAGATTTCATAATCAGGTTTAAAATACATTTTTAACAATGTTGCCAACGCGGTTATTCCTTCAGATTAGGTTTACTTTTTTAATTAGTCATCGCTCAGAAAATTATTAACATTTTTTTACTTCTAGGCTAAAAATCTCCTGGTTTAAAAATTAGATTTGTCTAATTTTCTAGTTGGTGGAATGTAAATATCCTTTTTCGATAATTGCATGCGAAGATTTAAGGGGTATCAACTTCCATAACTATGACTGTTATTAGGCTCTAAATTTTGTTTTTTCCAGTTCATAGTCGGCTTCCCTTGTGTGCAATTTTAGGTAGATTTAATTTGCCGACAAAAGGGAAAAAAGTACGTTGAACGAACATCAAATTCATCTTTTTTACAAAAGTTTATCACAAACCCGATTAACTGCTCCATGATTAGTTACCCTCCCTCACAGCACTTAGAAATACATCGCAACATGAAAAAAATTAACTGCCTTAAGAAAACTGTGGATATATGGAAGATTTATGCTGTTTCAAAAAACTTTTAGTTCGCTGAATAAACTTTGCTCCCGTTTTATACTTAAAGTAGGAGCAAAAATATCGTTAACTTGCCTTCATTTGGCAATTCACAAGGCCCGGAAGCTGTCATAAGAAGCGAAATTGATGACCAATGTTTATGTATGGAGCTGGTTTGCTGGACCGACTTGCACCTTAATCACAGTGTTTATTTCGGTTTTTAGGAACTATGGTTATCACTAACGAAAGTTGCAAACTGGTCTGCCAAATGTGTAAGAATCAGTGGTTTCAGTTGCACGCAGTTATAAGGCAAATTTATTGTGTAAAATTACCCTTAGACGGCGGTAATACGATTTTAAATTGTTTTGGCCTAGTTTTTTCGACTTTGTAAAATCAAAGCCCACCGTAAATTTCCGGTTGACTCCGTATTCGTCCGTTCTAACACCGCAATTTAAACTCTAACTGTCTATTCACACCCATTAATTCGGCCGTCGCATTTTTCGACAAAGTGCCCTCCCTTCACAGCGTGTCCGTCAGCTATGCGGGACCGTCTACCCAGACACCTCTGTCCATGTACCCCTCCCGCTATCCATTCCAGTCACCTGGCTATTCGGTCATCTGTACTTGTACAAGTTCACCCAAACTGTATTAGTCAACAACCTCATCTAGCTATGCACAACCTTTTAATACACGTGTATAATAACGACACAGCAAGTTTGAACCATCAAATGAACGGCTGTCTCCATCGTCTCCGGTCTTTGTCGTCTTTTCAGGTCTCTGAGTATGGTTTCGGGGCAAATTCAACGCAGCAGCTCCGGTGTGGTCCAAAACCACTTTCCGGGGCCCTCAACAAGATAAACGTTTCTAAAAAGGGCTTTTTCAACGTGTTTTTGAAAATATTTTGGAGTGGAATGAAAGGCCATTCTTCGGAATGATAGTGCGTCAATTTATACTAAGACCACAAATTTGAAAAAAAATGTGTAGCAACGTGAATCATCATCCATTAAACTCGGAATTTTGAATATTGCCAATGTAATTTCGTTAAATACAGGTGAACTTGCGTTATTGATATTTCCTTCATATACCGGGTACAAATATGCCTGGGCTTATTTTATAAACCCCTGGGTTGGGCGATATTCATCTATTGCCTTCATATCAACTTCGCACCTGGATTTTACTATTCTCCTTCACAAACAAGCGTTCACATCTCGGTTATTTCACCACGGTAACACTAAACTGACTATTTTGTTGGCACATGGGTCAAAACACAGGTCATATTAGTGATCCGACTTGGTGGCTTGTGAACCAGTGGTCTCGTACATGACGTGGAAACCAAATGTCAGTGGTCAAAACACTGCTGGTTTGTAAACAAAACATATCATTACACCTATCAGAGTTTTAGATTACAGTTACAGGTTGTAAAGTTACATCAAGAAAGGGGATCGTCAGGTTACCGAACAATACAGGTATGCATTCCGTTCCCCAAACTTGACAATAAAATTTAATTTTGTGGGCGATCATTTCCCAACCTTGAAATAACTCTCCCTGCTTGGTATGATAAAGGGAATAGGTAATGTTGATTTGTGTCGTTTCGATGGCACTTTAGCTAAAATCCAATTAAAATAAATTGCTGAATTAGAACCAGTAAGTTGTCTTCACCGAAAATCAAGCTCCACTATGGGTCGAACGTGATATACCTAAATACATATATTTATTGAATAAATTAATGTCTTAGGCATTATCACGCGTGAACAGCCAAATCTTACTTATAGTCGTCGATATTAGCCCCGAACTGGACACGTATTGCGGTGTGATCCAAGTAACGCCCGCAATAGACGGGAATGAGTACCCACCGGGATGCAATTCCTTCTTCCAGGAGCACACCATAGCAGAGGAAAAACTGTCCGCTGACTACACGAGCAACCCATAATGGTGGGAAGACTGTTTCGCTATTAAGCTCCGGAAAGTGGCTGAGTATTGACTTCATTTTGGCCTTCTTCAGTGACAACACATTCTTAGTATCTAGAAATGCGCCATTGAGTCCATCCGAAGAATAGTCGTCCCTTAAACTACCTTGGCCGTATGGGAAAATATGCGAATCAGAAATGCCAGTAGTAAGATTTCCGTTTAAATCTTTTATGTTTAAAGATGTGTATTCAGACGGTGTTGTCATCGAAGAATATAAAAATGCTGCAGTGTCTTTTGGTGGCCGGGTGTTAGACTTGGAGCCATTTGAATTTATGGGAGGATTTGTCAAATATGTTGGAGTGGCTTCTGTGGAAATATTCCGGAAACCGTCAAAGTATGTGGCTTCATCTGTTTTAGCCGTAGCCTCACTTGTGTTCTGTTCTCTTGTCTTTGAACTTCGACCTTGGTTTTTTGACACATTAAAGCGATTTGAGTCTGACGAAATGTTTGAGGAAACTGTGGCTTCAAACTGTTTAACCTCTTTGAAAGCTTTAATGTCAGAGTGGTTATGATTAAAAACTTGGTCATCAATAAAGTGTTTTTGATCCATATCTTCGGTTAAGATAACATTTTTTAGCTGATTTCTTTCAGAGATGGTAGAACTTCCATCTGTTTCATTCTGTATGTCTAATGTTGTCATGGTAGTTTCATTCATCGAAACCGATTCCTGACTAGTGGTCACCTTCGTAAGGTTTTCAGGAAAAGTGGTATTTTGGCAATCTGCTAGTTGGAGAAATGAATTGTTTAGTCGGGACGCCCATTCATCGATTCCAGAGAAGTCGGTCACCACCGCTTCGGGAGTCCTGGAACTGAGCGTCCCGTCATCAGCATCTTTTTCAGGAGAATCAGAATCGGAAATAGGTTGGGTATTTTGATCTTCATTTGGCCACAACGTGGACTTCCACTCGCTGGTTTTTGTGGTAATTGTTGTAGATTCAGGGGTTTCGAAAAAAGTTCCGTCCATGGATTTATCTTTACTAGAATTGCCGTGCCTTTTCAATAGATCTGTTTTTTCCTGCACATTGACACCATCGTGGGTCAAGTTAACTTCTGCGTTGTTCTTTGAAGGTTTTGAAACGTTTGCAATACGATCCGATCCCAAAAGTTCCCTTTTGTAGTTTTCAAGGGGTGTGGATTGCTTTTGTGCTATAATTTCCGTAGACGTTTTTGAATTCCTTTCCTCAAAACCTATGTGGTGCACATCATCTATTTGCTGAGGACTATGATCCCCAGAACCAAATTCCACGAATTCTGGATCTCTAACAGATGAAAGCCAACCGACCCTTCCTCTTGCGATTACTTCAGCAACACTGCATGCCAGTGCGCTCTCGTCATATCCGTCAGAACAATCTACGAAGCCGTTACAGAGAACTCCGAAAGACAAGCACACGTTTTCCTTAATGCAGCGGAATTGGTTTGAAAATGGACACGAACCAAGCATTTCTTCGAGAATGGGAAGTACAGTAACAATCCAGTCGGAATGGCTTTTCTTCCATTCACACGAGAATTGAGATTCATCGTGAAAATCTATGCAATCCTGAATACCATCACATACTTTGTTTTGGGGCAGACATTTGGCATCCTGTTGGCAAAGAAATGTCTCGTTGGGACAAGTTTTATTATTTGTATTTCCACACCTGTCTTCATCAAAACCGGACAGACAATCGGGTACCCCATCACAGAATTTTGCGAAGGGGAGACAGTTTGACGTACCCTCTTCACAGGAGAAACACGTGTTATTCATGGTCCATGTTGAAACCTTATTTGTACCATTTAGTATGGCGCACGTAGCTAAATTCTCATCCTCTCCGTTAGGGCACTGCTCAATACCATCACAAATTTCAGCTGAAGGGACGCAGACGGTTTCGGAGAATGTTGATGCACGGAATTTTGGATCACATGCCCAGAATCGTTGATCTGTGCCATTTTGGCGTCCGCAGACAGGGGAAACACTTTGAGAACTCGGGTCAATAATGTCATAAGAAATATTTACAATGATTTCTTCCTTAAATGCAGATGAAGTAAGTATTTTAACGCTTAACTGCAAAGCAAGTATTCGTAATTCAATATTGTTAATTGATCCACAATACGTCACCGACACGTTATTGACATCACTGATGACAAGGCGCGCGTCACCTTTACAACTTGTTACATCACCCGGGAGAACAATTTTGTGAATAAAGATCTTATACAAAAGAGGGCGGTTATTTCTCGGATTTAGTGTCCATTCGGGAAATATAGACGACCAGGCTCCATGCAGTGTTGAATTATAAACTATTGTCCTGGTGCCTTGGTGCCAAGGAATTTTGACTGGCGTCAGTGTGGATGCATAAAAGAGAGCAGAAAAAAGTAACTTCATGATCAGATGACACATTTTGAACATCAATCCTAGCGCAGATGTTGGTGAAATGATTTCGAACATGGGCAAATCCATGATGCTTACACGCGAAAGTCCTGGCTGGGCAGTTATGGTTAGCCAATCAGATGCAAGAAAACGATGTGTATTGAAACAGTTAAGAGATTTGCCTCAAATCACTTAGAAATTGAAGATTTTAGGTCGGAAATTTAGTTTCCGTAGCAATATTAAAAATTAATTGCCCTTCATTGAATGTTTTGGTAAACCCAATCAGTTTAGAGTTGCCAAACGATAGTTCATAATTTCATGTACAATGAAACCAGTCTTTGTGTAGAATTCATTTAGTTAGTTTGCCTTGTCTGTGGATCTGGACGTTTACGAGCAAGGTTTTTTAACATTTTGCCTTACGATGCCCATTACAATTCATCCATAATCGCAACGGCCTTTGCTTTGTCTTTTTGTTAGGCGCCTGTAACGTTATGACAAGTCCCTTTTTGATTTATGTTTAATCAGGAAAAAAATAATAGCTTTCGGAATTGAACCAAATAACTGTACGAAAGCTATCAACCCATAGCCTCGTAGCATGAACACTATCTGTATTAAATAACCTTTTTTGAACCTAAGTGATTGGGTTTGCATACCATGTAGATCAGTTTGTAAATTGTCCTCCTGGTAATTGGTGGGATTACAAGTATTCATTTTCCATAATCGAGCTAAAAAACACCATATAAATGTTTTCAAAACTTAATAAATAGCTACTGAATGAGAACGGAAAAGAAGAGGTTAGTATTGTTCACAAAAGCAATATTGACTAATATTAGTGTCATAAATTAATTCATGCATTTTTGCGCTCAGTTGGACTGAATTTACTTCGTTTTAAGATCAATTTTTGAAACCTTTTTTGAGTTGCAGCATTCCTTGAGTTGGACAGATGACTGGTGCATCTCGGGAGTGGCTATGAGTGTCATTCAAAACCAATCTAATCCTGTGTTTCTGTCATTAATGCAACTACTTGAATGGAAGTCAATCCGGAATAGACCACAAGCTTCGAGTTGGTAGTTTAAACTACAGGTACAACGAGGTTTCATGATTCATGAGCTATAGATTTGCACAGACTACACAATATATCGTTACTTTCTTAAACGGATCCCTACATAGGAGCATTTCGATCCAGGGTTTGTTAGAATGGTTTCCCCAGGTAATCAATCTCATCTATGACTACATAAGCACACGCACCCAGTAGGTAGTTTTGCAACGTGCAGACACGATTCACTGTGGTTCCACTCATTTTAGGGACAAATCTGTATACAGACATAACATATTTCCATGCTAGTATTTGCCACAGCTAAGAAAGAAATCATTTGTTTGCAAGTATTGTGAATTTAAATGCAGGTGTACTTCGAAAAAAGTGACCTTTTAATAGCTAGTGCGGAAGTCCAAAAAGGAGGGTCAGAACCACAGGAAACTCTACTGAGTCGGACATCACCATCAAGAACAACAAGCTAATCAGCGCGGAATAACTACTCGTAATTGTTTGATTCAGTAGTCAGTCCACAACTAGTTCGAATGTTGCTTGGTCCTAACAACTGTCATCGGTACCCCATTATTGTCTAATTAAGTGCTGCATGGTTTTAAGTAAATTGAAAGTTGAAAGCATATTTTATGATAATTCAATGTTGTTAGACTTAAATTCTGGTTGTTGTCAGATGAATTAAGCCATAGAATGCAAATCCACTAAAACCTAGATCTACCTCTTGGAGGGTAATAAATTGAGTAAAGTACCGATTCTCCAATGACAAACATGCGCAGTTAAAAATTAGGTTTTGTAACGCTGTGCGCTATTATCACACAAAGCTATTTTTAAAAAAAGTAGGTATGCTGTTACTTAAAACAGCACTGGCTACGGTCACTACATGGCTTTATATCACCCATAAGTTGGTTTAAATTAAATTCACAGCATCAACTTCCGCGAATTATACCATTGACATTAATTCAATTGCATAATTAATATGAGCCCAGAAATTAAATGGTCAATATGAACGGGGAAATAGCTCTGTGTGTGGCATATCATCTCTATTCAATGCTTCGAAATCGATCAGTTTGTAGTAAATTTAGCGCATCCCGACTTACTAATCAGACGAACCGAGCTGAAGTCAGTTTAATGGTCATGGGACAAAGCCGGCGCAACACCATGAAGCATCTCTTAGCGTTTTACAACCTTGGGAGGTCGTTAAGGAGCACCAGCTTATGATCAGTAGATGCAGGACAGGATGATTAAATGAGGCTCATGACTGCCCCACTGGACCTCGGTTAAAGTGTACGGACATTTTTTTCAATGAGGCCCATAGACCACAACTACAACCACCAAATCCCCACTGTCATTAATTCATCAACTGACGAATAGTTGACTATTGACAGGAAATGTAACGTGGACATTTGGATCATCCAGAACAACCAATTGGCCGGGCATTTCCAGTTTTATTTACTCAAATGAGCGTTTTAGAGACAGGCTACAACTGTCCTTCGCCTTTGACAACGGATTTCACACACAATGCATTGCAAAGCATATAAAACTACCAATCACAAATTCGACAAAAAAGGTCACTTGAGCAAGGAAAATGGACAGCGAGATAACTTTTAATGATTGTTGTGTTATGCTGGCCATAAACTAACTAACCTACCTTTAGAATTACGAAATTTGCACAGATAACTAACTTGAAACTTGGTTCAGTTCTATGATATAAAAAAAGAAAACGTTAAGGTGACCACAAAGTGGATTGCTAGAGACAATTGACGAAGAACATGAATAGTAACAATTTTGGATTTGTTTTCATAATAAGCTATTTTGCGTGTTTTGAGAGGCAAAAACAAGTATTTTGAACAGCCAAAGCTTCAACATCAGGAAGGCTCGAGACACCATCGACTTAGTTGAGTTGGTTCCGCGTGTGACGGAAGGGTTCAGCGAGCGCGATTTCCCCTCCCACGTCCCCGTCCACCGCGCCCAGAGAAAAACTGTGGCTGGAAATGGTAGGAGAAACCGTAAATTAAAGCGAGGCTCAATTGGACCATTTCACACGAGCCTCCGTCAGTAGGAACAACGTTGAAAGTTTGGCAACAGGACTCTTACGTAAAAAACTGCACATATTTGCATGTTTCTGATAAATTAAGTCTAGAATGAATGGGTGCGGCTTAAGCAGGGCTATTGCAAAATCACGGTTCAGTTTCTTCAATAATGGTCGGCACTAAAAGGTGGATGTTAGGTTAATTTCACCTCGTTATTCATTTCGAGAGCAAACTGATCGTAATGTACTACCTAGCAAGAAAGCATGCATATTTGCTGCACAAAACTAGTTCGACCTACATTCCATAAACACTCAAGTCATACTTTGGCATGTAGCTGCTTTCTTTTGTCCTATTTTTTTAAAAAAAAACATGAAACCAAACGCACCAAACACTATACAAGTAGATAGATTGGCATAAATTAAGTGACGCATTTCATTGCATAGTCCTAACACCCCTAAAATCCGCGTTCGGTGTGGTTGCGTGTAACACTTCCTGATGCTTGTGGAACTTTAAGTGGAGCTATTAAAAAGGGCTCTTCACCCCGTACCGTGCCGTTCCACGAATTTCTGCTTGCTGAGATCTTATTCGGATCCTAGTTGGGTGGTCCGAAACCAACGAGCTGAAAACACGAAGTCTAGAACCACGCTATCGCGTACTGTGACAACCACCCAGTGGAAATCACGGTTGGACAGAATACAAGCAGTTGTTCTAGGGTAAGCAGGAACTATAAAGGTAGGCCTGAGAAAAAATGTGTGCTGTAAAAACAGTAGTACAAGGGCAATTATGGTGAAGGCGTGTGAACGATGTGAACCACAGCTGGTGATGGGCACGCAAAACACAGTGTTACTGCCAAGACTCCCCGAAGAGATTAAATCACGCAAGAAAGGAAGCTTTGAAGACAATAAATGTCACATCCACTTACTAAATAGGTAACTCAAACCATATCTATACACACAAGCAAATACGCTAATGTGCGAAGGCTGCCCAAAAGTTTGCTACAAATTCAAATTGAATACAGAATATGAAAGCAGAAAAATAATCATAAAATGTGAACACAACGAGGGAAAGGCTGAAAAGGGTCTCAGTTTTGAAGAGATGGAATTCTCAAAGCATCGTATTGACGGCCTAACAATCGCTTTAATTAGTACTCCATTCAGTCAGGGAAGAAGCGGAATACAACTAAGTCAAAGTAAATTTACAAAGCCAAAAGCAATGAAACATTCCAAATGCAAAAGGCCATGTCAAAAGCTCTAGAACAGTCGGCAGCCTCGTGGCTAACAAATTCCCAAATTTTGGCATTGTGTACTGAATACTTCAGTGAGAGAGAAACCCCGAAATCGTGGCGTTGGCCACCAAAAGTCGCACAAGCTGTAACAAGATTTTTAACGTAATTCTGACCATGAATGCTATCGAGGCCCAGCAAGTTGAAACGTCTTTTCGAAAAATCAATGCCACTACACTTAGCATATTCATCAAACCGGCGTGTAAACATCACAAAGCAAACTTAATGCTACGTTATTCTCAACGACTTTGGAAAGTATTCATTTTGTGAGCCAAAAAGACAGCTTCTTGTTACTCCTATGAGTCGCGAATCTTAGAACATGAAAAGGTACTGAGGGATGCCAAGTAGAAAAAAAATCCACACTTGACAGGACATTTTTCAGATCTGTCGCAAAATGTATACGAATTCTGATTATGCTGACAGGGCACTAAGAAAAGTCTGGTGGATTTCTCGTTGACTGCTCAGTCAAGGATACTTTTTAAGAGGCAAGGTTCTCGTAAACTTTCAAAGCAATTAAACACCTCCTGGTTACGTTGCAAAAATTGAGCGATGAGGCAACAACAAATTGACGATTTAACAATTTACCTGAATACCTTTTTAGTTAAATATACAAAAAATTCCACAACTTGGAATATTTTGTTTTTAGTGGTTTCGGTGGGAGGGAGGTTGTGTTACATATTTAGATGTTTAAATTTTAGTCATCGAATCCGGCTGTGTCAAGGGAATCTTTTGTATTAGTGTAAACTTACGGCGCCAGCAACGAGGTCAATTTGATATAGCGGGAAAAAACAACCAAATTAAATTTAAAGGGCGATAAAGACTGCATAACTGGCAGACAACGAGGTAACAGTGGCAAGTATTGGTGCCCTAGTGATTAAATACTTCAGTAGAAATGTTCATATTGAATGTACACACCTGAAAGGTGACATCACTCTGTAGAACATCGAAGGCGTCAGGACAAGTGAAAGAGAAGCCAGACTGGGGCTGCGAGGCGTAGGTGCTGCCGCCACCACCACCACTGCCTTTGCGTCCACCGCCCAAGACGCCGCCGCTGCCGCGATTTGAACCTCCGCCGTGCCCACGACCTGGAACATGGAAAACGCTACATGTACAGGTCGACGGCCAATATAGTGCTGTGGGTGTTGAATCAGCAGAAATAAGGACCATTCAGTTGGGGGTCTTATTAAACTAAAACATGGGATCTGAAAGGGACATCAATAAAATTAAGGCTTCTGACAAGGACATTGGCCGATGTCACAGACAGGCACCGTAAATCACACAGTTCTAACTTATAAAAATTCTAAATAGAACCTACGTCAATTATGAGTATGTAGCTGAACTACGCTTAAACACTTAAACTCGTAATAAGTTTGACATACACGTATATCAGAAAACTAGTTTCAATGCGTTATTATTGTGAGAAGGCTTGGGAGGGTTGCTAAACAAAGTAGTCTTCCGAAACGAGGGCATCGATGCAATAGATACCTCCACGGGGTAATGTTAAAGTATGGTAGCGGAAATAGATAAGTCTAAAGGTGAACATACTAAACACAAATTCGGAATCAAATTAAAACATTGGATAAATTGAGTGCTACTAAGCGTATTTTCAGTAAAACGTTTATGATAGATAAAAACTACGTGAGAAGGGAGAACCGTGAGACAAACTTCAATCCAAATTGGTTCTACAGGGATGAATTTTAGGAAATAGCATTTTTGCAACATCCGTCAAAATATTTCCTACTATAATTTTGAGCCTATGGTAAAGAACCCTTAACCATAAAATCCGCAGAAATCAAAAGCTACAATAACAAATGAAAAACAGCAAGAATTGGAGTCGAGTTCCAGTCCTATATTACTCTCATTCGTCGACTAAGACAAACATTGCTTAATGTGCACCGCCCGCCGCCATTAAGATTTCCCTGTCAGTCTGAGGTAAGTTGCTGAGGCGGTTTTTATTTAAAAACTCGAATTTGTGGGGAGTATCCTTTTGAATTTTTTGCTGCATACGGCAACGATAGTGTATTTTACTGAGAGAAATTGGATGGCCTGTTTTGCCTTTTCCAACTAATCATTTTTGACTACCAGATTACAGTTACAGAAGTTGCCTAAAGCTTAGTACGTTGGTATGAACAGCTATCGGTTGGATGTGGGATAGCAATGATCAACAGTCGTAAACACAGCAATGGTCTGTTAATTTGAACAGTCCTGGGGTGAACGCAACAACAAACGGTCAATTATAATGTTAACTACCTCCACCGCCTGATCCTCGCGCGCTATACCCCTGACCTTGGCGTTTCTGAAACGATGGCATCTCAGGAGGAGGCGCCTCAAGTTCCCAGGCTCGACCCCCACGGTCGGGAACTTGACCGGCCATGAGAATTCGGTTCAGCGGACACGATGTGAAGAGTCGTGCCGACGTGCCAGAGGTCTTTTCAGATAATAGCAAGTTGACGTCGCGAGCAGCCAGGAGCTGAGGCACAATGTCCATGTGGGGATTCACTTGCATAACTGACCTTAGTGGGTTGTAGGCAGCCGCTATTGTCTCCTGTTTAGACTAAAAGTACGCAGATTCATTACCCTTTACAATTCCGAGATGATGCAGCTTTTTATAAAAACGCCTGGTCATTTGGTCTATAAGCCTTCTTTTAAATTTAAATCCAAACACACAAATCCAATTCCCTCCCACTTTTGTAGAGAATTTAATGCTGTACTTTGAGGTGCTTTAAAACAGAGCATAAATAAGATACAATTTGCGGTTCAAGTTGTATATTTGGGGTTATCATCGGTAGGATGTGGTTTTTGTGCATTTCCTCTATGGAAAAACACTGCCATATGAAATTTAGCACCGAATTTTGAGAACAAAAAGAATCGCAAACTCACTTTCACTCTGTCGGACCACTTGAAGCTCTGTACGGTACAATCAGCGCGCTTAATGAGGGTCTCCCGTCGACTGCTGTATTCCAATTGGAGGATTTCACCAATGTGGCAAACTTGCGACCAAAGTTTGTCTGAGAGGCCATCTACAGGAAGCATTGGCTTTCCCAAATAGTTGGGTGGACAAGTCGAAAGGGCCTTCGAAGCCTAGGCAAAAGCGAGGAAAATGAAGCAAGGCACATAAAAACGAAACTGCAAGTGCGTAGCAGCCGCCTACTGAAATACTGTTATTGTGATGCACGTGGAAAATATGATACTGCCCAACACATTTAAGCTATTTTCAAGCACGAACTACCAGAAGAGGATGCAATTAACCATTTGACATAACTAATTCATGTGTCTAGGTGGTACAACGTTCATCGTTCACGGATTTGGCAGCAAACACAATCAATGTCGACCCCTGACGACCCTTGCATTCGTCCTGATATGATAGAGCTCCCAACCATGAACATCTGCGCATTTTCCACCTGAAAAGAGGCTGAGGACTGTGCATATCTGGACGAATTCACCTTGACTTTTAGGTGATTGTGGTATACACTAATTCCAGCAGCCTCAACTCAAGCTTTAACCTAAAAAAAGAAATCAGGTATTTCCAGATTCTGTAAAGGGCAGCTAGAACCAGAACCACCAGCGTGGATAAGGCCAAGGACATAAATATTAGAAATTAATTATTCAGACTTAGGTTTGCTTCCATCAGTGGATAGTAATTTACACACATGCACATAAACCAATCAACTTAACAAATATTAATGATGGAGAGCAAACATTACGGTTACACTAGCTCCGCACAAATATCTGATATCGCTGTGAATTTGTATTTTTTAGATTTTTATAATCACTGAGGATGGAATTCCCAATAAGCAACTCCCAAATAGATTGGAGGATGCAAACAGACACTGTTACCAACACGAGTAGCGCACATGACGACACGAGATATCTGTCGATAATAAGTCACCACACTACTTGGTATAAGCTTCCTCCGTGTAAATGATTCATACTAAGATTCAGCTACACATAATCAGTCTGATATGACTCAGGGTTGTTTCTGCAGCCCTCTCTGTGCCCCTTCAAATGACGGTAACTCAGTCTAGGCAAAATCACATTTATAAAGTGCAATAAGTTTACTGTCTCCGCAAATGTAACGGAATATTCCAAGTTAGTATGCAGATGATGACATGTCATCAGACATTTAAGACGTGATACAATTTAACTATTATGAGCAGGGAATTAGATGCCTCTGATGTATAAGTTGTGACACATGTCACCACGACTTTAATTATAGTAAAGTGTAGAGTATATTAAAAAGAATCTATTGCCGCAGACCTAGGTTCTTGTGATTATGTTGCATGAAACACGAAAATAAATTGTAGTGAGGTAATGAAAGCCTTAATCAAAATGATAACAAAAATACTTAAATCAGAATCAACTATGTTTAATATAACAACAACCGGACATAATAATGCACTCAAAGATCATGGGCCTGAAAGGCAAAATATGCACGGTTATTTTTTTTAGAAATAAGAAAAATAATTATAATGACGACAAGGCGTGATAATACGTGCCACTGAAACCTTACAAAAGTCAACACTAAATTAGGCACTATAGCAAAGATAGCAATATGCGCTAATACTGTAAAGGCGTATCAGGCAAAATTTAAAAAAATACCAGCTGTAGCCAGATACTCTTTTTTCCAAAACCAATGCAAAGTTGCAGAAAAAAAACTAAAAAACAGGCAGTCTCCAGCTTACTGATGCATAAATCAATTCAAGAAGCTTAGCAGGACCGATAGTAGATGATATTCCAGATATCTTAAGTGCTTCGCAGGCCCTCCCAAAATAATCCCCGAGATTTGTGGGGATTTGTGACTCAGATGCATCACTTTTAACCGGAAAACTGGAGGGTGACTTGTCCATTTGGCGTGCAACTTTAAGTTCTGCACACAAGAATTCTGGAGGAATGAAATGATTCTGTCAAGGAAAGTTACAAATGTAGTATTTGTAAATGACAAAAAACAAATTAGCTTACTGAGCGTAATTAGACGATGCTCCTTCGAAGAAAACCGCTCGTCAATTGGCCCCTCAACAATCTTATTATATGGAAAACCTTAAAAGCAAGTGGAGTAAGTATTACAAATCCAAATAACATGTACACAAATGTTCAATCTAGTGTCATGGTTTGTCTTGTGGATAGGCGAAGAATTAATTTTTGCTAACAAAACGACTGAAACAGTTCAAAGCACGCCAATGATTAACACAGATTTACTGCCTTTCGTTCCTTACCACGTGTAAAAATTCACGCAGAAAACTTTAGCAGTTAAAAAACCTACAAAATATGTCGACACAAGCAGACATTAAAAGCAGCATCGAAAAGTGCATTGAAGAGTAACAGAAGTGAACACACCATATTCACGCAGGAAATCGGAGAACTCAAGACAAAAAGTGTCCTTTACAGAGTTTTCTGCAAAAATAGCCTAAAAGTAAAGAGAGCGTCACCTGAAATTGCTTCAACTGAACTCTGTAAACCGTAAATCCTGCACAGCTCGGAAGTGATCAATGACACAATGCAGGAAAAATCAATTATGTTATTCAATGCACTTTCATTGCAAGAAAACCTACAAATTAAATAAAATAAACCACCCCACCCCAAATTCCTAAAGAACACACTGAGCTCATGCCTCTTGGGCTTAGCCATTGCTCTAGTTATTCGTAGTCGACCGACTTCAAGGCCATGTTATTAACACCAATAATTAAATACTTAAAATTTACTTATAACTGCACAATACCTTATAGCCTTGACACCGTAAATTTCCAATATTATCAAAAAAATTTACATTTACAAAAATCATCTCTTTTTGTGAATACGTGCGTCTGCACACGCGCATATACAGACGCAACCCTATGTAATTCTACAAATCGATAAAAAATACCATCAAGAAATCAAAATTCTAATCTTTCCATATCCACTTGATTATCTAGTCCACACTCATAAAAGTGCGTTCAACTCGGAACACAGGGCGATTAAATAGGGATAATTTCCAAAGTCAACTGAAATATATTATGATCAAAAAATAACGATGGAGATGTCTTTGAATATTCTGAATGTACTTAATACGTGATCGTCCTGTTTTCGATTTAATAAATGAGTGTTACGACTTATAGCATTGCAACTTGTATCTGGTCTTTTCTAATATAGCGGCAAAGATGGACGGAAGGCACAAAATTATAGGCGACTCAACCAGTACAGTAAATTAGGATGGACGGCTCCTGACAGACGGTCCTGGCTTGTGAATTGCCAATAAATTCTATTCTGTTACACTTATTCTCTCTATACTGGGACTGGGGTATTCCACAGAGCCATTCTTACTGGTGCTAAACTCATATTACTTTCACAATTTTTTAACGGCCTTATTGAACTTTTGTCTTCCACCATGTAATTGTTTTATATCCACGACACCATAAATTCTACTTAAAAATCACTGGTGCAGAATGCACGGGATAAATGTTTAAACATCGCTTAGTAATCATGCTAGTTATGTTTTCAGCGTACACCAGACAATAATCTAAATCAGGGCTAAATTCATCATTGTTGATTGCCGAAGAAGGAACTGAATTAAACAATTTTGAGCAATCATGAGTCTCATGGGGTGATTTAAATGCACAAATGTTTCCTCTGTTTATGTAAATGGAAAATTGGCTAGATAGCATAATAATTTGAATTTAACATGAATTACTAAGTATAAATTTTAATAGAAACCAATTTAAGCTATCAACTTCAGGTAATACCAGAATTCGGGAACCTGAACAAAGAGGCTATTATTACCAGCAAAATTTGCCTAAATTATCGCATTTCCTTCTAGGGAGTTATATTTTATTTTGAACAGACCTTAACTTTGCTAAATGTTCGCAAAAAGCTATTCACCTGAGAACATTGTTGAAATCCCATATATGTAGTCCCGAATCACACCGAGGCCGCTGTATTGCACTGGCTCGATAACTCTCAGAAGAGTTAAGTCGGTAAAAACAACCGTTTGCTTGATAATTTAACCCAATGGTATTTGTCGACCACTGCGCAAAAAGTTTTTTTCCGAATAATGAATGCAGTTGACCAAAAAATTCAAGGTGACCTAGTAAAAGTGCAAATGAATGAATAGCTAAATGAACGAAACGGGTAGAATGACTGATGTATACCCAAGGGGGTGTCTAAGCAGACGGCTCCACGTGATCGATAGGAGTGTAGAATACCCGATGGATATGAATCAGCACGATTCCTTACACCATCATGAAATCAAATTTAAGCAAGTATTACTAGACCACTGGATAATTTAATGACGCCCTTTATCGGGTGTCGTCAAACAAATCGCGTTAATATATGTACCGTAACACAATTTGGCCTTTACTTTCTTCAATTCTTTATTAATAAATGTTATGGCAATATTTTTACTTTACTACATACTTAGCCGTGGCAGATATTTCACGTTTAACCATTATGACAATATTTAGGGTTTTTGTTAGGTACACTTTAGTTGTGACTTTAAGAAATCGATCTTCATCTACACGGCACAAATTTTAGTCCACGCTGTAGCAGATTATGCATCTTTAATCCCCTTGTTAAGGCAGAATTGGCCTAAAGCTTGACCTTTGTCAATACAATCAATCGTTGGCAAACCGGATCTATGTAAAGTATCCTGGAGTGTAGTCTTAATCATGGGCTTCGAGTTTTGTTATCTCAAGCCAAAGCTAGTAAAGCGATGCTTCATGTAAGTTTGGTTCTGTGATTTCGTTAATTTATGCGAACAAGACTGGACGACTCCAGTCCTTGATGTTAGGCATACCTTTTGATCAAACCAGATTAAAATTGGTGAGCATACATTTGGAACACTTGTAGCGGACTGACAGCCACCTCGCGTGAGTAATGCGCACATGAGGGCCCGAGTGGACCAATGACTCACTCCTTTTCTTATTGCCCTCTGTCAGCATTCGCCTGTTACGCACACGTACTCATGCGCACGCAAAGCCACTTGGTTGGTTTGACACGAATAGACAATCGTATTCTCTTGTCGCCTTCTCCCCTCTTCTCGGTTAATTATGGGCTGTTAACTAGAGGGTTGTAATGTGGTTCTAAGTATCTAGCCCCTACACACTGACATCTTGACATCCATTTTCGTAACCTATCCACTAAAATCTTAAAAACATATATTATTCGCGGATAATTTTTTTTTAATTGTGCTAATAAAAATAGCAATTGATAGAAATATCGAGGGCTGTGATTAAAGTTCCCATTAAATTTAAACTTGGGATTGGATTGAGAGATCTTGACGGATATCTTTCCAGTACTTGAAGAACTGAAGAAAAAATCGATGCACTTAACCTTAGCCAGCTGATTACTCAAGACTGATCTGCTGGCACATTGAATTATTATTTGAACTAAGGTTTGTTCCTGGCATGCTAGCACGTGTTCCGTTTACACGTGATTATGCGGCAAAAGCCTCAGAAAGGTGTCGTCTAAGGTGGAGAGAACCAGTGAACATAACCGAAGATACTCTAGCCCTCGGACAGCTGGTAGACAAAATTAACCGACGTAATAAAGCCGGAGGCATTACTGCATTTCTTGGAGCACTTGATATAATCACACATGCTAGAACTGACTTCCTGATAAAAAGTCTTCAGCGCAGCGGCATTTCATCTCTGCGGCGCTTCTTTTTAAGAGCTGACCCCTTTAGCAAAGACTGGGACGGGATCGGACCGGGTCTTTCAGTCTTACATGCGTTAATAAGTTCTTCAGTAGAAGTACGGAACTGCCTTCTTGATTCGTGGCTGTTTGTTCTAAGACCTATCAAGGTTACCTTTCGTGAGGTTGAAAAAATCCACCTAAAAAACCAGTTTACTAATTCTCTGAAACCTGGAAAACTGAAGCAAACCAGCACAAATGAACGAATACAGGCTTTTCACTATCAAATTATCTCACACATGATTGATGACCCACGGGTTATCCTGAAAAGCAAGGAGGGAATAGCATTTTCTGACTATTTGCGGAATCTTGAGCTCATGTTCATGGTAGCGCCTGATAGAACGGTGGAATCAGTTAGGCGAATTTGCAGGCTCAATCAGATTATCGATTTACACCACACATGTCTTTCAGACGTGAAATGTGGACCTACTTTAACAGAAAATAATGCACTGTTCGGACCAAGACTTTATTTTACAAATGTTATTGATCGACTAGGACTTCGCAAAATCAAACAAACTAAGTCCCCAGATGTTGATTTTGCAATAAAAGCTCAATGGGATCTGCAGGCGCTGAAGTTAAACATTTCAGGAAACAGTGGTGTCATTGAAGCTAGCGTAAACAAAACGGATTTTCTGCTCAAGCAGTCAATAGAACAGAGGAGTGATCTTGATCCCATGCAAATTCATGAGTCATTCATTTCGCATGAGTCCGAACCCACTACAAATAAGGATTCAGTTGTGTTACGGTTTGTTGGTTCACTGAAAAATCCACCCGATATTAACGCAACCTCAGAAAATTTTACAATAATTCCGGATACAAAGACTACTCATATGGTTGACATGTCAACGCACAACGTTTGCAGATGTTGGGATTGGGAATCAGTGCGATCCTTGAGGAATACTAGGAAAGTAGCAAGGGCCTGGGCCGTTAGACAGAAGATTCTTGATCAAAATTACAAATCAAACACGGCTGCAATTGTCGCTCGAGTTCCGAGACATCTTCGGTACGATCCTAGACAATCAAAAAGGTTCCGTAGGACGGTGAAACCATTAGTAAAATCTCTTTATCTATCAGAAAGTCAGCAGGAAGCGGTTGCAATTGTTTTTCGTGGGTACGAGACCATACCAATGTTCAGTAGGAGTCTAATGAAATCCCCGAAAACGCCATATTCACGAAGCACTAGAATATGTTCTACGAAGCAATGCAATATTGAACTGCCCTGATTACCATAATCTGGGATGTTTTAGGACGATGTATTTACAATTTTCTAAAGCTTGACATCTTGAATTTGCCATGATTCACTGGCTCTTAACCTTAGCCAACAAGTTGAAATGATTCCCATTAGCTGCATACCTAATAAATGCATTTCATAGTTGAATATTTCATGTCGGTAAGTTGACAGATGCTCATCGAGTGTACAAAGACAAAATAAAATCATTAGTTGGCATTCGCGTAGACGTTTGATCTCGATGATGACGTTATTACAAAGTGGAGTTCTTATTCAGAGTGTATTTCTGAAGGCCTTAGAATATATTCACTTCCGAGTAAAGCAGTGTTCGTATACCAGTGCACATGCTCACATAACGGTGAGCTTTCGGCTAAAATCCACAATCTAAATTGAAAAAAAAACTATCTGAGACTGTGTTGTAATAGTCGAGAAGATAAATTTACAGGTACTGGAATCCAAGGTGATGGAGAGGCTCATTTGATGTGACAAATTCGCTTCCCTTGATACGTTCTGATACATTGGTCCGCTAAAATTACCCAAAGGTTAAGTCAGGGATCGGCATCTTGGCTACTCAAAAATGCATTCCGCAGATGATGGAAATTTCACCGGATCCATTTTCTTGCTTTGAACTCAGCGCCGTAGATTAACAATTGGTCATTTAAAAAATACAAATCATGTTAGTGTGTTAGTGACGATGTGTGTCAATAACACTGCGCCTTCCAACTCATGCTAAATAGTGAAGAACGTCTTTTTGTAATGAAACTAGGAAAACCATGTTTTGAGCAGAGCTTTTAGAAAATAAATTTATTTCACAGTCAGAGTGCATCAGTGCGGTCGAAATAGAGAAATGTTTGGGATGGAATGTCCAAATTAAAATGACCTTCCAAAGGTTTTATTATTAATCATGTGAAATATTGCTGCTTATCTGCCGAAGACATCTCAGAACACGTTGCTAAGTAAATAATTGTATTAATGAAAAGAAATGAATGTGCAATCAGGCGGTGGTGAATAATGATCCCGATGGCACACGTACGCATGGACAGCCTAAGAAACCCCCAAGGAGCAGGTGACTAGGCCCCTCGGTAGGTTGTTCTAAGGACAATTCAGCCCACTTCGTTTGCTGCATTGACGGGACGTCATCATCGGATATACCCAATCACATTTGGAAGCCAGATTTCATAGCCCTCAGTGTGTGGTAATGTTGGGGACGACTGCTTGATATTCGGAGAACGCATAATCGTCCCCAAATCCCCTCGCTCACCGGTCTTTTGCGATGCACATTCTGGGCACCCTAGAACCGGCCAAACGAAGTAGATCGCGCTCAGCTACGCTAACTAGCCGCACATGGACCAACAAATTGTAGACCCGGTTAAGGGCTGCTCTCAATGCCAGCGGGCCACCATGATCCCCTCGAGACCTTCTACAGCTCATAGGCTCCGGAAACGGAAGCCCCTACCACGGTTGGAACTCTGGAAGTGGACCATGGATGAGACAATGAACCCAACTCCGCCGAAGACAAGGCGCAGAGACACCAAGTAAGCAGACAGGCATTTCACAGGAATCGCTCGTTGATAAAATTTAACTGTCGACACCACTGGAAGTCTTATCAGAACGTCTGGACACAGATTAGGTCACCGTGGACGAACCGACGCCTACCAACATTCTCCAAGACGGCTTGTCACGGGTTATGATTTCGTCATCATTCACACAATTCTCCTAACCACGCCACTCCAGCAGGTGAGTCACCATGGCAACCTAAGAGCAGCTCATCTGTGCTAATCCGCCTTCATCCATTAGATCAAGATCATGCTTAATTTACGTAAATGGACACATCTTAACAGATTATTCAGACTCTGGTTGAGATCTTAAAAGCTCTCCGCAGGAGATGGCTAGTGTGAGACAAAGGATCTGGGGTACTGGTTATTTAAGTACGTAGCTCATGGTTGCCGGTAAAGCGTAACAGGTACTACACAGACAACCATAGCAAAATATATGCCTTGTCGCAAATTTCATCCTCTGCAGCTCCAATGTGCGGCCACAACAAATACGATAGCCCGGACACTTGGAAAAAGTGACCACTTTTTCCGCATTTATACTCTATAGTCATGAAAGGGAACAATCGTACATTCCGTTAAAAGATGTGTTGTGTCTTGCGACAATGTATCCACACGTTACGCACCAACTGATTTTGGCGGTTTCTGTCAGATTTATGCTTTATGTTGTCTTCTGGTTCACCCCTACAATGTGGTCTGTTAAATAAGGAGACGGACGTGTCAGAATGATGGCAAGATTAAATACCCGAAAGTCAAAAGTATGTACAAATGTCTTGCACAATGCGCGATGGCAAAGTAACTACGATTTGTGTTTTGTAGCCCGTTTTTTGACACTTTTTGGAATCTTTTCTTGTCTTTTCTCAGCCTTTGCTGTCTGCACAGCTTTTTTGCGAGTCCGCTTACTCCCAGGAGATTCATTACGTGGACGTCTACTAGACTGGAAGGTTGATGGCTTTTCACCGATGGTTTCATTGTGTTTTCTCCTCTTCTCTTCAGCTGACTGCCCGTCTTCGTCATCATATTCATCTGGTGATGAAGATTTGTCTTCCTCATCGCCCCCTACAAGAAATTTGAAGAAAATTTTGTTAAACAGGGAAGGGTAATAAAAGCTAAAACCACATACAATACAAACGTGAACCTAAAGTTCTGACTAGCTGAGTGCGGCAATTATTGACAGAGTTCCCCTGAAGGTTCAAAAAACAGCTCAGATATATACAACGGTTTTCAGCCATCCAAGTGTGACTAGTGTTTAAAATAAAATGAACCAATGGGATTCTGGTGATGCGTATTTGAAGTGAAATAGAGTTAACCATTAGAAGATTGAGACATCTGAAATTACTGTTAACTGGGATTTAGGTGCGAGATGCATTTAGAATTACGTCCTTACATGGTTTGTGGAGGCGTGAAATATCAGTTAAGCTGGTTTTATGCCAAAGGCGTGTATGGTGGATAACAAATAAGACAAAACTCCGCAACTTGTGCAATAACAAAGCATATGTACTTTAGCTGAAACCAGTCTATGTCAAACAACAGCCAGGCGCTGTTAAAATTAAGTCTTTAAAAAACAACTCACCAGGAAGATCTGAACGCACCCCTGTTACCGCAGTGTAGTACAGATCTTCAGGCTTAATAAGGCCCTTTTTGAGTCGCACGAAGTCTTGGAAAAATCGTTTAACCTCGAACAAGCTTCGTGGGACGTAGACGCGGCGGAAGGCGTCGTCCTCGGTGAGGAGGGTTTGGTTGTGGCCCCGTTTCTCAGCGAGGGCCAACAAGTCGTCTAAATAGGAGCTCGGACCCTCCGTCTGTGGCAGACTAGGGTCTACTGCCCATTCGAAAAACTCGCGCAGAGTGAGAGTAGAAACACCCTGACGTCTGAAGAAAGCATTTACATTGTAACAGTCGTTGCGGAGAAAATCCAAAGCCTGTGGGGCCTCATGCTCGACAGCCTAATATAGAATGAAGGCAGGAACCAAACAATATCAATTCACCGAAACAGGCCTGTTATTAAAACAAAGCCTAATCCGATCGATTTGCAGTGAATATTAACAGTACCCAGAACTAAAGCCTACTTACTCCAAAAGCTAAATGTTGCAGTGTAGAATGTCGGATTCTAGGAATATCCTCTTTGGTAAATATGAGGATAGGAAGCGAGTGGCATATGATTCATCAGCCGTTTTCAACAAAGAAGTTAACTTACAACTCGGAGGACGCAGTGGCATATCGATTTCTTAAACTGAACATTCAAACCATAATGATTTCGCAGCCTCTAACCGTCAATGTTCCTCCAACGTTGCTGACTGACTACATCAAAATATGTGTTGTGTAATGTTTATCCAGCCGACCAGTCGAAGGCCTTTAATTGTCCATGATTCTTAATTTTTTGCTCAAATTAGATCCCACAGATAAGTTCTTTCACCTGGATCTTATGATGAAGATGGGACGATTAGTGGAGCTTTTGCTTTCTCACAACACTTCACTTCCTTGACTGTCACCAGCAGTTTGCAATTAACCGGCTTGACGGATCATATGCACAGGGCCCTGCCACTTAAGTCGATAAGATATATGCATACACAAAGGGGATCGTTTAAATGAAAAACCATAACTCAGAATGAACATTTTGAAACTCCGCTTAAGCATAAATCGGCATTAGAATCAAAGTAGTACTTAGACGTCGCACTTGAGGTCTAAAAAGTATCCTAAACCTTTATTTATGGTGCGCATAACACTGGTATAACGTCACAACCAAACACAGACACACGAAAAGAAACTTAAAAATACTAATAATATACCTGGTGTGCATAAAAATGATGTTTTCTCCAGGTACTATAACTGCTCAACATTCCAGAGTTAAACTTGTGCGCCAGAGGTAGTATGGATTAGGAATAGCAAGGTATATGTTAGAGGAAGGACAGAACATAAAAATAATAGTAATAATGGCTATTCCTGAACATGGACGTAAGAATTTATTTAAGATATGGAATATTAAATGGGCACTGATTACTAAATACAATGTAGGACCGTAAATGTCGCACGAAATTATATTGCAAGACGTCAAAGGATGGTAGGAAAAATCACGAATCCGGCTTGAGGTAATGTTTGGAAGATTTCCAGAAAAAATCACGAAATGGTTATTTTTAGGGTATTTGAAGGACAAAAATAAAGGCTAGCGGTCTAATTTGGCATTTAAACGTGTTAATGTTGGTTCTTATCCACAGTAACTTTTATGAGACCAACTCTATATTTGGAGTGAAAAACAATCAAATTTTACTTGGGAGACATCAATCATCCAGGCCTTGCCATCCATGTAAAGGAGATTGTATTCACTGAGATCAGCGTGAACAAGGCGACACTTCTGATAAAGCGTCCGTACATCCACCAAGATTTGACGATACAGAGTAGGCCAGTCGGGAGGAGGACCAAAATGTAGCCAGTCACCCGAAACAACGTCCTTGAGTTTCGGGGCAGGAAGACCATCTTTCCCAATAAGTGTCATAAGAAGGACAACGCCCTTCAATTTTATAGGCACAGGGGCGGATATGGTTCTAGCCATATTGATACGAAGCAAATTGCGATACTCTTTTTCTGCCCACTTCGACACCAGCTTCCAGGAGCTGCATGTAGAGTAACCACGACGCATACGGAAGTCACCTTCAACATACTTGCTTCGTGATTTGAAGGGGAGAATGGCGGTCATGTAGAGCTTGATTGCCATATCGCCGTTAGGGCCCACTGCATGATACACGTTCGCCTCTTTGCCTCAAGTAACAAGCAATAAAGAAGTAAGCATTGGTAGGCATTATGCTAAAAGTAGCCTAAATTTTAATAAAATAGTCACAACAGAGCAAAAGTGAGGGATGAATTGCGTATAGAAGCACGTGGACTGATTATTTCATGATAACGGGACTTCAGGAAGTTCATTGTTAGAATTAAAAAAGAAATGTTTGAAATCAAAGCACAAGAGCATGACCTCTAATAATTCCAATAAGTTAGAAAATATTTTAAGCAAAAAATGTCTGGGGATATCAAAGTATGAACGAAACTTACACACTATAAGAGCGTATAGTTCACAAAATACCAAAATATATAAGAAAAGAACGCACATATTGACACCAACTACTAACGTAGTTCAGCTATTTCTAATGAGTTTCAAGAGGGCATTGCGGTCCTTTGATTTAAAATGACAGGAAACTAGCCTAAATTTATCACCAGATAATCGAACCACAAAGGCGTTAGTAATGGGATGTCATGTATAAGAATAGTTCCAGTAACTCATACATGAAAACATGAAAGTGACGATGAAAAAGTTTTTAAATGCCAACAGTTAATCTGCCAAAATAAAACACCACTAAATAATTAAAGGAATCGACAGAGACAATTCTGTCCAAATAAATCCAAGGGGTGATATGGTGCTTACCTGTGCTGATGCAACCATTTATTTCATCGTAAACTCCCTGACTCATCATTTTATAAAGGATTGCGCACGAACGCCTATCAAGCGCATGGTCGGTTGTTGCTCTATCACTTTTGTCACGGTTCTGCTCAGGTGTCTTCAAATTAAAGTCCACTCTATTCTGGAATTTCTGATAAAGGGCTCTTGTGGTATCAGAATGCTCAAAATCTTCAATCCAAATTTCATCGTAATCATCACACAGATCACTAATATCCTCTTGCATTATCAAAATGCTTGGCGATTCTCCGACTAGTGACGACTAAGTACGGCGTAGTGTGGTGAAATAGCAGATAAATGCCATCTTTGTGCTGTCATTGGTCGAGGGTGAATAGCACGGCATGGTGACGACGTCATGTGACTTCCGAATGCGTGCGTCACGTGGACTTTGAATGACGCGCCGGGGATCGAGAGCCAATCCACGCACGACTTTTCCTTCGCAATTGCAGCGCCGATGAACAGACCAACGGGAGAACAGGACGACCAGGAAAAGGCTATATAATGACCCTGTTTTCCCCAATGGTGCTGACCAGAGTGACTGTTTCTAGTCTCCGTCGGGAAGCTTGCTCTCTCCTACTTCTCTTCTTGCTCTCTTCTTGTTTGTACCATGGGACCGAAACGGACAAATTGTGGCAGTGAAACCGTCGCAAAGACGGAAACGAACCCGTGCTGTATCCAAAGCAGATGGGAACGACGGAATTTTCGCCCTCAACCGGCCGAGTTCAACCTCGACGACGACATCGATACATGGGTTGAGAAGATGGAAGAGTTCTTGAAATACGAAGAACCTGAGACTCGATCACGCAAGGTGATGAGGAACCTGGCTGCTCCTGCCAGGCGTATCGCATTAAGGTCAGGCTGCTCGGTGGATACGCCTTATGAACAATTGCTCGAAGAGTTATCTCAGTTGTTCTCGGTGGACGCCGAGAGCATTTTGCAGAAACTTTCTAGTCGGCGATATCGGCCTGGAGAGCGTGTCGTTGATTATATGGCTGAAATACATGATCTGGTCAGAAGGACTTACCCAGAATTTATGCATGAAAGCCTAACAGTAACCCACGTTCTCCGGGGACTGCCGGACAAGATCGCTATGCGGCATGCCGGGCTTGGGACCCGATCAATTGCAGATGTCCAGCGGGCTCTCATGGCGGACCCCGACCTGCGGTTCTCCGCACCCGTTCAACCACGTCAAGTCCCACAGTGGCGACATACGACGAACAGGTTCCAAGGGCCGCGTTTTCGAGGACCCGACGGACCTTCGACGGGTAAACCTCTTGACGAGGAAGGTTCCAACAAGCCTCCAGGTTCGTCAGTTCCGTGCCCTGCTATTCATGCGTCTTGTCAGACCATTCACATCCGTAGGTCTGCGATAGGTTAATGCACTTCCTAGTTGATACAAGGGCCGGGTGTTCTTTAGTCAACCCAGGACGGTTCCATCAGAAGACGTTCGAACCATACTTGGTGGCGTCGTCAATTAGTGTTAAGGCTGCGAACGGTACTGAAATGCGTAGTAAGGGGTGTGTTGATGTCTAACTCGCTATTACGAGTTGTCTGTACCAGCAAAATCTGTCTGAAAAAACCAGATTCAGAGCGGAATGGCATGGCTGTCGTACGGATGCCTTATACGAAGAACTCGGAGAAAGGTTGTTAAAAATATTTACTAACAACTCAGATGAATATCTGGAGAGGCTCGGGGATCGCTCATACCGCCCCGGGGAAAATGTTCTGGATTACACGGCTGAAATATGCAGTCTGGTGCTGAAGGCGTTTGACGAGGTGGGCCCCGAGAATGTGGCGGTTGCGTTCATCTTGAAAGGGTTG